ACACTGTTTCAGGCCTGGGGTCTAGGCTGTTGGAAGAAAATATGGCATATTATTATCACATTAAAAGTAAGTATAAATAGTTTACAAGAGGCAAAAAAAAGCTGTTTAGCTGTTTAGAAATTCAAAAAATTTAAAACTGAACTAATTGAACTTCTAACATCAGATATAATTAACAGGTACTGAGAAACAGTTATTGAAAACCATCTTATGCTCAGATGATGTACGTAGGAATGTGATAACAAGAAATCAGGGAAGAAAATCATAGATGTGTTCAACCTTCAAGCATTATGGGAATAACACCAAGAAATGTTCACTGAACTGAACTCTGGTTTCTAAAGTTAATGCAAATATTTGAATTTTACTATCTCCCAACAATCAATAGTTAGAAACAAATGTGCAGGTAGATGCTACCACTTCACAAGCATACTTCCAATCTGTAAATCTTGGAAGTCCAAGAAACAAACCACTGTAGAAGCACAGGACAAATTAAAACCACGCCCGTGCCGCTGAGGACGGCTTCATCCAGCAGGCCTCATAATTCATCACCTGCAGAAGGATCTCTTCTGGCAACATGGTTTTTCTCTAAAGACCCCTAACAGGGATTTGAGTGCGATCCCACAGGCTGCAGCCTGCTGAGGCATTACTGAGAACTACGTCACACACAAGTCAGGGCCGAGCTCCACTCCTGAGTATCTGTCCCCACGCAGAGGAGGCGGGAGGGCCCAGCTGGAGTCCCTGAGCCAAGAGCCATTTGTGCTCAGGTTGTGGGATTTAGAGACTGCAGGTTGCTTTCCCAGCAAAATGAGGAATTGTTCCCAATTCCTCCATCTGGTGTGGAATCTCCACCATAAATATTTAATCCTCTCCAGCACTGCACATGGATAACACTCTGCTGTCATCAACAGCAGCTTGTCCAGAGGACACCTGGGAGAGGCTGAGTCAGTTGTCCCAGGTCAGCCCACTTTGTTGGTCATTTTATTGTTCAACAGTTTTTAAAGATTCAGGATGAAATACAATAAACTAGGAAATTGGGCAAGAATGAGAAACCATGGGAGGGAAAAGGAAGAGGGAAGGTCTGATATTTAGATTCTAATGGAAACAAAGATTGGCTTTAACACACCGTTCCAAATGGCCCACGTGTCTCTCTCAGGCAAATCAATTCTGTGAACAACCTCAGCAGAAGTTACCACAACTTTTACACAAGACTTTTGTTTTAGCTCGCATTTCAGGAGGAACCCAGCAAACACTTTTCCTCTGGACTCTACCAGGCAGGAATCCCCTTTTCACCATCTGAGGTCTCCACTCAGTGAATGCCATGGCCTCTGCCAATTCTGAGCTCAGTTTGTGCACACGTTACCTGTTCTTGATGCGGGTCAGTCTCCCTAGCACACAGGGCCCCACGTGCTCTGCTCCCTCATAATTACACTCTGGGTCCTGGGATACGGCACTTCTCTGGGAACACCCATCACTCACAGCTGATGCTCAACAGCAACAAAAAATGCTTCTTCTGGCTTAGTTTTTAAAAGTGTTGGTAGTCTTCTCTGGTCTATACACGCCTGGATGTCAGCAACGTTTGAAGGACTTTTGGAGGCTTCGGTGCCCCCCAACAGTTCCAGTAGTCTCCAAATACCTGCTATTTGTAACCCAAATGTTTGGAAGACACACAGTGTGGTGAATGCAGACAGGTGTTCAGGTGACCACTCACTAAATGATCAATCATGAGAACAGTCCTCTGCATTTTCCCCTGGACAAAAGAAGTGATGGGGCATCAATAGAATTAATATTTTCCTGTAATAATAACACTGCCAAAGTCTGAGTTAAAATTAGTTCTTTAGAAACTGCCTAAACCTTCAATGCTTTGCTTAGTGTTTCTCCAATCAGAGTCAACAAGGGAAGAAGGGCAGTTGATGGAAGTCAAAGGACAGACGAGGACACGACTTTGGGAACCTGGCTTCTACAGACAGGCTTTACCCAAATTCAACATATTACCAATTAACAGATATATTACCAATGTATAAGAATTCACTTTCCTTCAAGAGAAGTTGAAATGCTTATTACAGTTCTTGATCTGGCTGAGAAGACATATTTGAGTCAAAGCTTCCGGCATTGCCTGAGATTCAGTAGCCACTAACAGATGAGCAGTGAAGAATCGAACTCTGCCCCTGAAGAAATCTGGTCTCGGTCTTCAACTCCTGAGAGTGATCTGCAACTGTCTGGAGACTTGGGCTACACATGCAGTAACAATATGGTGAAAGGTATGGGCCCCAGGGCCTGCAGCAGGGGATTTATGGACAGATACACTGTGAGGACAGTTAGTCGTGCCTATGAAACAGGGTCCCAGGAACAATTCCGCACAGCGAGGCTGGGGTACTTCTGGTTGACTGGACATCACACCCAGACGCCAGCAGAGTCCTGGTTCCACGGGGAGAAGGCAACAGAGATTCTCCTCAATGGTGCATCTCCCGGAACCCGTCCTACACACACCTTCCCGTGGCGGACCTTGGTCTGTATTTTCTCTGCATTAAACCATAACTGTAAACATACAATTCTCAGCAAGTCCTTCTAGGGACTTGTTAAACCTGATGGAGGTTTGTAGGCCCTAAACCTGTAGCCAGTGTCAGAAGTGAGGGGACTGTGCCCTCTTGACTTCCTGGTTGTCTAAGCCCTTTGCATCAGGGTAAGGTTTTGGCTAAGTCAAATTGAATCATTTCTCTGCTCGAAACCCTCAACAGTCTCCCATGTCACCCGAGGTCCTCCCAGAGGCTTCACCACAAGTCCATGCTACTCCCTTGCTGACAGGTCTTCTCTGAAACCCCCCCCAACTCCCACATCTCTCTGCTGCAGCCCTGGGCCTTCCTGCTGCTCACTGACCACATGGAGCATTCCCAACCTGCCTTCTGCCGCAAGAAACAGAGGGCACCGCGACTCCTCCCACAGCAGAGTAACGTGCACAGCTGAACTTGGGGGAAAGTGAGAGTCCTCGTGGAAAGCCCTGAGGCTTGTGACTGGCAGAGAGCAGATTGTGAGAAATACACACTCTTGCCCCATTCCCATGACCCCTTATGATTGCATCATGCCACGTCCAAGGGTCCCCCTGTTCACTTCTGACAGAAGAAAAGTATTCCTCTGTGTGTGGATCTGCTCTGACAGGTAGAGGACAACACCACTTCCAGGCTTCCTACGTGCCTGGCACAGCGATGACCTTCTGGGATGAAAGGGGTATTGTGAATGCTGAGCAGCTGAAGGGGCTGAGAGCAGGGAGACACTGAAAGGGCCAGTGTTTGCCAACCCGCTGATGACCCAAGAGTGGACGCAGCAGGAAAACCAGTGACGACACACCAGTATTTGTGGGGTGACACCCAGAAAGGAGATTTGGGTCAAAAAGTTTGGGAGTGACATCATCACACAGCAGGGCTTCAGTTTAGTTCACTCAGTCGTGTACTTTGCGACCCCGTGGACTGTAGCACACCAGGCCTCCCTGTCCGTCACCAACTCCCAAAGTTTACCCAAACCCATGTCCATCGAGTCGGTGATGCCAACCAACCATCTCATCCTCTGTTGTCCCCCCTTCTCCTCCTGCCCTCAATCCTTCCCAGAATCAGGGTCTTTTCAAATGAGTCAGCTCTTTGAATCAGGTGGCCAAAGTATTGGAGTTTCAGCTCAGCATCAGTCCTTCCAATGAATACCCAGGACTGATTTCCTTTAGGATGGACTGGTTGGATCTCCTTGCAGTCCAAGGGACTCTCAAGAGTCTTGTCCAACACCACAATTCAAAAGCATCAATTCTTCAGCACTCAGCTTTCTTTATAGTTCAACTCTCACATCCATACATGACTACTGGAAAAACCATAGCTTTGACTAGATGGACCTTTGTTGGCAAAGTAATGTCTCTGCTTTTTAATACGCGTCTAGGGTGGTCACAACTCTTTTTCCAAGGAGTAAGTGTCTTTGAATTTCATGACTGCAGTCACCATCTACAGTTATTTTGGAGCCCCAAAAAATAAAGTCTGTCACTGTCTCCCCATCTATTTGCCATGAAGTGATGGGACCAGATGCCATGATCTTAGTTTTCTGAATGTTGAGTTTTTAGCCAACTTCTTCACTCTTCTTTTTCACCTTCATCAAGAGGCTCTTTAGTTCTTCTTCGCTTTCTGCCATAAGTGTGGTGTCATCTGCATATCTGAGGTTATTGATGTTTCTCCCAGCAATCTTGATTCCAGCTTGTGCTTCTTCCAGCCCAGCATTTCTCATGATGTACTCTGCATATAAGTTAAATAAGCAGGGTGACAACATACAGCCTTGACATACTCCTTCCCCTAATTTGGAACCAGTCTGTTGTTTCATGTCCAATTCTAACTGTTGCTTCCTGACCTGCATGCATACAGATTTCTCAAGAGGCAGGTCAGGTGGTCTGGTATTCCCATCTCTTGAAGAATTTTCCACAGTTTGCTGTGGTCCACACAGTCAAAGGCTTTGGCATAGTCAATAAAGCAAAAGTAGATGTTTTTCTGGAACTCTCTTGCTTTTTCAATGATCCAATGGATGTTGGCAATTTGATCTTTGGTTCCTCTGCCTTTCCTAAATCCAACTTGAACATCTGGAAGTTCATGGTTCACATACTGTTGAAGCCTGGCTTGGAGAATTTTGAGCATTACTTTACTAGCATGTGAGATGAGTGCAATTGTGTGATAGTTTGAGCATTCTTTGGCATTGCCTCTCTTTGGGATTGGAATGAAAACTGACCTTTTCCAGTCCTAGGACTTAGGCAGGGCTTAAGTCAGAGCATTTATTACTGTGGAATCCAAGTGAATGACCATCATTTAAAGAACACCTGCTGAGGGTGTAAATTGTGGAATCCATAGGGTCAGGGGACAATCTTCTAAGGGGCTGGGTGCAAACTCCAGTCACACTGAGACAAAAGAAAGAGGAAGAAAGTGCTCTGACCCGTGAACGTCAAGTACAACTGAGTTCAGCATCCTCCTTCTCGAGACACTTTGAGTCTAAGTATGTGACACGTGTGCTGTGAGAACGTGCTGAGATGCTCTCCTTCCCATGCTGTCCTTGCACTGACATTTCCACCAAAACAAGAAGGTGGTGGTGCTCGGCATCCTGCTCTGGGAATGGAGGAGGACAGGAGTTTCTCCAGGCCTTTTTCAGGGTTACTCAACACTGTTGTGTATGTTACACTGTCATGAGTCACATCTTCACCAGGATTCATAAGACTCACTTCTACAGGCACCCCAGTGGTACACTTTCCCCCAAGTGGCCTCCGAGGTGAACCCCCCACAACCATTCATGCACTGTGGGGTGACAGGCCAAGCTCTGAGGGATTCTTTCTGTATCACCTTCATCTATAGGAAGATGAGCTCATCAATCCAGGGAGAGAACATATTCCTCTTCTTTGAGTTTCACACAGAGAAGTCACTTACAAGAGTGGTGACCGATTCTAGTGGGTCACAGTGGGTATGGGAACCAACTTCTTAGAGTCTGGGCCATGGAACACTGTCTGTCCCACACATCAGCCTCCCTGCTTCCCCTGGGGACCCATCAGTCATGCTGGAAGCTCTAGCTCATAAAGAAAAGCTTACAGGCCCCTCACATAAACCAGAGGCACAAGGTTGTACATCCCAGGTCGAACTCCAGATACTCCCTGACGGAACTATTAGAAGAATAAGGATGCCAGGCTTCCCTTCACCACCGATTCCTCCAAGGGGGTAGAAAATTCTTTAAAAAACTGAAAGTAGCTATAGTCAGTTTGAGTTAAGATCACTTAGTTTTATTGCATAACCAAGCTTTAGAATAATTAAATTTTTGAGCAAGTTTCAGCTTTGGAATTCTGACAAGCCCTCTGTTAACTGGTTAAATATTAAGATTTTTCTTATTAATTATGTCTGTTTGAGCTGGATTATCAATTTGAAAATCAAGGAAACTGGCTTTGCCCTGAGTATACCAACTGAATTACACGTGATTTGCCCCTGGGAGCTACCATCACAGAGCCGGAACTCAAAGCAGTTTTGAAAACAAACTTTCTCTGGAAATGCATTATCCTGAGGCCTCTGTGGAAATAACTGCTGTAGCAAGGTGGACACGCCCATCCACCCCCGCTTCCCATCTGAAAGCTGCATGACACTCTGCCTACTGAGCCTCAGTTTGGCTCCCATCGGTTTATTTTGGATCACAGACCCCCCTGGGTGAGAAGCCAAGCCCCGTGGTTATCTGTTACCAGATAAAGGTCCAGGTGTCACCAAACAATCCTGAGGAAATGAGAAGGCACAGAGAGCTGGCCGCCAGGTGCAGGCCAGGCCAGCCTTACAGACCGGTGCACGCGGACGTTCCCGCGACACTCGGCCCAAACCCTGCAGCCGCGCTCGGGGGTGGTCCAGCGGCTGGACCACGGAGGGGCCTGAGCCTGCAGAACACACCTCCTGACTCTCACCCCCATCCCTCTTCAACCCAAGGGAGCTTCCTAACAGTTCGGAACCCAAAGCAGGAGAAGCCTGGTTAGAGTGGGGGGGAGAAGCAGGCATTCAACCTGAAGCAGCAGCATGTGGGGAAGCAGCAAGGCGGCCGCTGGGGGAGCTCTGCCCCCGGGGTCCCTTCCCCCGCGGAGGCCGGTGGGGCATTCGCCCGGCGCCCCCCCACCCCCACGGCTTTCTGGGTCCTGGTTCCGGCGTGCCCCTCGGACACCCCAGTGCCAGTGCCAGAGTCCGCTCGGCGCCACCTGAGGCTCCCCAGCGGCCCCACCTCGCCGAAGCGCCCTCCTCAGAAGCGCCCTTCCCAGACCTCCGGGCTCGCCACGCTCTCCCGGAAGCACTGCCTCCCCGGGTGTCCCTGGAGGAGCGCCACTCCGGACACGGCACCACCTCCGCCGCCACAGGAAGCACCTGCCTGGCTCGCACCTGAGGTCGGCCTACCTCAAGAGGCGTCCCTGGCTGGACAAGGACGAGGCCGCGACTCCCGCAGTGGCACCGGCCAGAGCGCGTGCACCAGACGTGGGACCAGCCCAGGCAGAGCGTGCCCCGCGCACGCCGTCCCTTCGCGCCACGCCGCTGCGTCTCCACTGAGGCCGCAGTCCCGACTGCCTTCCACCAACCCCTACCGCTTCCGCCCCACTGGGCTCCGCCTCTGTCACGTCTCGCGGGACCAGCCCTCCCGCCCTTTCCTGGCCCGTTTCCGGTCTCTCAGCCGCTTCCTGCCCTCAAGGATATTGCTGTTTCCTGGCGAACACCGCGGGTGTCTGTGCTGCTTCAGCTCCCCTGGCTCGTTCGTGAGGCCTGGTTGGCGTCTGCCGAGCCCACAGCCCGCTGGGCCCACCCGCGCTAGGGGGGCCGGTGGCAGGATTTGCCCAGTGCCTGGCGGTGTCTGTCACCCGCCCTCTGCCCAGTGCAATGTGGGGCCCAGGTGGACCTCCTTGGACACTGGAGTGTGGTGACGCCAGCCTGCCAAGGGAACTGCCAGGCGCCGTATGCCTGATGGGGCGGGCATCCAGGGTGGATGGGACCTGGACGCACGGCCTGGAAGGGCGCAGGCCATTTGCACGGTGCCAGGGACAATACATGGCTCTCCTCCTTCAAGAGTGGACCCTCATTAGAAGCCATTTAGCTCTGGTCTTCAAACAAGTAGCTGTGCAGAGCTGCTGTCTTCCAGTTTTGAAGGAAGTTGCAGTGATGCTGGTGGAAGCAAAGAGGGGTCCCAGAGGACGGGGTTGGGGGGGGCAGTGATAATGGCCCCTCGTTGCGAGCACCTGCACAGAGTGAATGTACAAGGGGCCTGGCTGGGGGTGGGGGTTGGGGGACAACCACTCTGTGACTAGGAGAAGCAAGGTTCTCCTTCCACTGCAGGAACCTGTGGCTTTAAGTGCAGTCACTGCACTGGGGGTGGGAAGGAGTAGGAGGGCAACAGAGGGCGGTGCAGAGGACAATGGTCTGTGCCCCCAGGGCCTCCACACAGCCTGGAGTGGAGACCAAGGAGGCCCAAAGGGCAGTGCCGACTAAAATTACTAGACATTTTCTGCAATATCTAAGTTTAATCCCCGCCTTCAGTCTCTGCAGATACAAAACAAGACTGAATCATCTGGGTGAAGTCTTAGGGAAAAAATATAAAGTCATTCAGAAAGCATAACACTATTTTTTATTTATTTTTTGCTAAATATTTATATAGTGGAACCTCCACCCCTCCCAGCATGTATTTTCTCCGTCACATGGTGAGCTCTCTTGCCCTGTGTTCTGGCTCCTCTGATGTCCTTTGCACCTTCCCCTGCATGGGCTCACAGTCTATGAATGAACCAAACACAGCAAGCCAAGGAAAGAAAGTTAAGTCGCGTCAGAAGATTTAGAGAAGCGTTTAGACTGCGGGACCATAACACAGTTCTGGACACTCTATACATCACCACCACTAGTGTCGAAGCTCTTATGAAAGAGATGGGCAGCATGTCCCACACACATATGATCACAGGGTCTCTTTCCCAAAGCACCTCCTGTGGCCTTTGTGCTATGGACACAGGTCAGGAAATCTGAGCTGCGTAGCTGACGCTCAGGCCTTCTCAGTTCACAGCGTGAGCAGCTGGGGTCAGATGAAGCCCTCGGAGGGTGAACACGTTCATAACATCACTCTTCTGCTCAGTGCTCCCTTAATTTAGCAGAGTGGCTCATGCCCGACTTTGGGGGGCAGGGAGACAGGGAGACTGGAAGTTCAAGTCTGGTGTGCTGGCCAAGAGATGAGACAAGTTCCCATAAGTGCTCCGAAGATTATTCTAGCTGGTATCAGAGCTGAGCAATGGTATGGGGCCAACTGTGTGTTTATGGGTCGAAACCAGTTTTCCAGACGAGTGGCTTTCCTGCAAGTCATGTTTCAGGACCAGGTCCCTTCTGTTGCCTGGGTCCCCTGGTCTGAGTTACAGAAGGGCAGAAACGGGAGTTGTGTCCCTGGGGCTGTAGAAATCAGTCTGGGAGTGCGGTCACCCTACTATATCCTGGCCCAGATGCAGCTATGGGCTGCTCCCACCTTCAGGAGAGCTGGGGCTCAGAAAGGAGCGTGTGCCCAGGAGAACAGGAGCGACAGTGAGCATCAGCCTGTCTGCTGTGGAGCAGGAGCCGCTGAGAGGCCTGGGAAGAGGCTCAGTGACAAGCGTTGGCATTTGGTTGGCTCACGGCAGTGAGAGGGGCCTGTGAGGCCAGACCGAGGACTCCTGTGGAGGCCACACCAGCAGGATCTCTGGAAAACCGTATATGTTGTTGTCTGAGAGGAAGAGGGAGTCGAACATGGACCAGCCCTGCATCTGCATCCTCTGGGGCCTGGTAGGGGCTTGTTAAAGACCTGCAGAAAGAATGGATGCCTGGGAGACAGTTCCTACAGAAACTCACAACCACCACAGGAATGGGGACAGGAAATAGCTCAACGCAGCAGGGGAGACCCTTGACTGACACTCCCGAGCTAGCCTCCCAGCTCACTTCTGCCACAGAGCTGTCCCCATCTACAGTAATTATTATAAGCTCAAAAGAGTAGAAATGAGTCTTGTTAGTAGAACTATGAGCTCCATGATCAGCTGGGACAGTGTTTCCGGGTCCGGGAGAGGCTATTGCTGTCACATCATCGGTGGCTCCCCTGGAATGGGCATTCAGACACAACGCAGAAGCAGAAGGCTTTGAAGGAGTTGGCTGCATACAAAGCACCAGGTCAGCCTTCCATTTGTTTCTCCACGTGTGATGAGGACATTTGTCTAACACTAAACAAAGACACGGTATTGCATCTGAGCCTTTGCTGTCCCCATGATGGTGTCAGTCACATCTGTCGGCATGGGTTTCGTGGGATGCCATTCTGTGTCCTCACAGTATGTTCTCCTGAGGCTAATAATTTAGACTCAGGTAACTGCCAAGATCACTGGAATAAAAAACCATATCCACACGAATCTGTAAGTATTCTCCACCCATCACCACCACTTCCAAGCCCGGGTTCTACCCTCTTCCCAGGTCACTCAAGATTTCATAACCCGCTGTCCTCCTGGAGCCTTGTTTGTGGCTCAAGGTGTTGGCAGCAGAGATGACCCTGATGGAGGCATCAGGGGCCCCCGGTATGAATGGGCTTCCTGTGAACCTGGAGAAGCATTTCTGGGTAT